AAAAAAAAAAAAAAAAAAAAAAAAAAAAAAAAAAAAAAGGCACAAGCTATGTGTCCCCCGTGGTAGCAACTGCGGGGTTGACCCCGGTCCGCGGTCAAGATCTCAATCGTAGTCGCGGACCGCCGTTGTTGGGTCGCAGCCGAGGGCCTTGGGGGGATTTCCCCCCGCAAAATAAATGGGAAATATAAATATGCGGTTGTAGGATTTCTCAAACCCTAAACCTCCATATACTTATTTTTTCAAACCACTTATTGTTTTGTACTTAAAAAAAGAGGTAACTCCGTCGTAGTCACAAAAGTAGTTTGAAATTGCATTTCAAACTGTATTTTAGAAGTATAGTTAGGGACCGAGTTTCAAATATCGTTGAAACTCGGATTGACCGTTTAGCAGTTCAGTAATTCACATGGCCTGTTTTTCTTTTGTTCCCCCCTGTTGCATACTGTAACGTGCAGACCAGAACAAGAACCGACATTTCAATACAAAGTATAAGATAGCACAAATATGACCAATACGGAAGCAAAAAATGAGTTGGGCCCTGAATGAGGTTCATTTCTGACTCAAAATATAGAGAGTACTAACGCCAGCTGCTACAAAGTGAACTTAGCCGACGGGGATGGGGGCCGGAGCAAATCTCAAGCATAGCTATGCAGTAGACCGACAATTTTGTAAGTTTAGTTTGTTAGAAAATCAGACAGTAGGATCTAACTGACCTGCCGCGGGACAGGACACTCCTACAGTAGCTACTTAACTAACATTTCCGATGAAGTCAGCCCTTTGGGTTTTGCGGTTCAAGGGACCCCCCTTGATGATGATCGATTGGCAACCGATCGAAATGCGGCGTGGGAGGAAGCCGAGGGCAGCAAGGTGGAGGACGACACTTAGGTGTCATGCCTGTAGGCTCTCTATATTGGGATATGGTGGAAATTCGCGAGTGACGTTTGCTTCTTATTGTATATTTCTTGTGAGTTGATTGGATATCTGTCGACTCATTTGTGGCTCTCTTGCTATCTCACATGTATGGAGATTTTGCATGCATGTGACCACTCGAGTGGTTGACAACGATCCATGCCAACGAGCGAGCGAGAGAGAGAGAGAGAGAGAGAGAGAGAGAGAGAGAGAGAGAGAGAGAGAGAGAGAAGGGTGGAACACGCGGAGGAACACTGACCTTCGCCAACGTATTCCGCCGAAGTAAAAGGCGGCGGTGGGTCGCAGTAACTGAAGAATCCCCGTGTTTTTTGCGCGGCTGCCTAGAAAAGTATGGGGTTTGAACTCAAATTTGTAGCGCCGCCCATTTTTAGGGTATCTTAGGAAGAAACATCCCCCACAAAAGGGCAAATTGAACAAGCAGCAGAAGAAATAGGACCGCTGGTACAAAGGTTACATAGTGGGGAGGTTTTATGACTTTCCCCAAAGTTGTGCCTCTCACTGACAGGGTCGCGTACAAAAGTTCAGAGGCCCAGGGGCATATCATGGTAAGTCGGTCGTCAAATCACAAATAGACACAAACTTGAAGGGCATTTCAAAAATTTTCTAGATCTGGTACGCATTTTTAACGATATTCTCTATTTTCACAAATAGGGACCCCGTACGACAGAAAGAGTAATCACTTTGCTAAATAAGAAAGGAGATAAAAGGGACGTAGGTAACTGGCGCCCCATCTCCCTTCTCAATGTAGCAGGGAAAATCCTGGCCAAAACCATGGCCAAAAGGCTTACCAAACTCCTGATAAAGCTAGTGTCACCGGATCAGTCCGGTTTTGTACCAAGCAGACAGGTTGTGGACAATGTAATGACTGTTTTGCAAAAACTAGAGTTGATCAAATCACGGAACTCTAACCAAACAGTGATGCTAATCGACTTTGAAAAAGCCTACGACAAGGTTAATTGGGATTTTGTCTAAGAAACACTTACACGGGTAGGGTTCGGTCCCAACTTTATTACCTGGTTTAGATCTTTATAGAGCGGATTGCAAGGTCGGGTGCTAGTGAATGACTTCATCTCAACCCCCTTCACAGTATCAAGATCTCTTCGTCAGGGATGCCCATTGGCTCCCTCTCTTTTTGAAATTCAGATGGATGTCCTCCTAAATATGGTCAAATCTCATCTATGCTATAAGGGCATACCGGTATCTCTGTCCTATAGCCTTAAGGTTTCGGCATTCGCAGATGACTTCTCGACAATCTCCAAAAACACTATCGAATCACTACTTGCCTTAAGGCAATGCTTATCTGTCTACAAAGTAACTCTAAATTGTCTATACCATGTTGTGTTTCCAATATTTGTTTTCAACTCTGCGGCGAGCATCCAGAGGCTTGCTAGAGGCGTTCATCACCTCTCGCAAGAGTCAAGCCTCTTGGGATAAGGTAAGTTATTGTTTTAGACATGTTGTCAATTATGTCGTAGTTCAAATTACATCCTCCACAAAGAAGTCAAAATCGACGCACTTAATAACCATTTGCTCTAACCATTGAGTTACTAGAGACCTTTCTATTGTTGTATTTTTTTTATAGTCTTTTGAAAATCTATCATATTTTGTTGAAAAACATCTTGTCAGCTGGAATAAATCTATGGCCATGACCCAAGATGGCAGCCCATTGGCAAAAGAATGGGGACAGAAAATCCTTTTGAACACGGATTCGAAACGATACCTCGGGATTTTGGTCTCGTTCTCTGACCTTATCGTGGCACAAAACTCCATCATAGAGGAAAGGG